CTATCTTCATGATGTATCGACGTGTATTTATGGATCAATTCTAGTTAAGGATCTCAGATCTAGCGGCACTTTACCGCCATAAATACCGAAAGTAGGTTGCAGCAGTTCCTTCGGCTGGCATTTTGGCTTATCAAGTCGCGTAGGCACTTCATATGCTCCCCATAAACGTCACCATCTGCTTCCACCACCTAAAAATAACCCGTCTAAAAACGTCCGCACACCGACAGCGGAAAAAGTGGATGGACTGGGTGGAGTGGAGCCCCAACTGCTACGGCAGGCCAGGTCGGGCCTTACCAAAGGGCTGATGATCAAATAAATTTAGCAAAGTTGCTGCTCATATAACAAGTCAAATCAGAGGGGTCGAGTGCTGCGTTTACGCGGCTCTAAGATGGATTCCACGAAAATGTCGAAAGTCGAAGAAGGAGCAACTTTCCTGGTGGAAAAACAGGCGAACTTCCTAGCGGTGCGCATTGGTGCGGATCGACACGCAGTTTGCAGTCAAAATAGAACCTGCTCCCGAGGAATTGCAAAGGCCCTCCCACGGCGCTCTCCCTCCAATCACCACCCACCAACACCGACCTAAATACCACTTGCAGGCCGTAAGCCTTCTAACCAGCTGTATTGCGAAGAGCGCTGTTGAAGAAGGCAAACACTGATGGAGTAACATCATGCGGAATCGACGGGCGCAGCTCGAAGGTCCCATTTTCTCGAACTTTTGCGCATTTTTTTATATTTTTCTTAATTCAGCACGATAGACAACCTCTAACCTTGATTCTTTCCATTAGACTGCCATCTCTAATACGTACATTCTGTTTCAAGGAACTTTGAGGTTTCTCACTGCTTCAAAAACTGAACATACAGGAGATACAGCCGAACCAAATGGGGAATTCCTACGTACCAATTTCCCGACAGTAATGAACTCGTAAAATACCTCTTCGCAGAAATTTGCTGTATCTACAAGGAAGGTCTTTCAGGGTGTGCCAAGCTTTTTCAAAACGGTCTTTTGCATGATATAGGGCACATGCGGGAACCACAGAACCATGGTTAATTTTTCCTGAACGGCCCTCTGAATACCAGAAAAGGGGGTCCCTAGTCACACCTTTTTCACCAGTTTTTCAATCAAAGTCTATTTGTAAGGGTTACTGACGTTCCTAATCATGAATTTGGTACTAATTATTCATGCTAACTCCATTTTGCGCGAATTTGGAAACGTCAACTCGAAATGCAAAAATTTGTCACCACGAGGAATCGAACTAGGGACCCCTTTTCTGGTATTCAGAGGGCCGTTCAGGAAAAATGAACCATGCTTCTGTGGTCCCCATATGTGCCCCTATGTCATGCAAGAAACCATTTTGAAAAAGCTTGGCACACCCTGAACGACCTCCCTTGTGAGTGCTCTGTGCTGTTGAAGTTGACAGTAGAGCAGATGAGTGACTTTTTCTATGAAACAGGAGTTGGCTATATACACTTGCAAGGAGGAGAACGAGTTTCTGCATTTGGTATTTGTCTTCGCAATAAGTGTTACCTTCGAATCTTTGCGTTCTTTATCCGACCATGAGGTGGTGCCGATTTTACTGGAGCGTTCAACTGCTGCCTATACGAGCTTCTTTACCACGCTAACTGCTGCAAGATAACGTGCCAGAACTCCCTTTGTCAGTTCAGCTTGAGGATCGGGCGTACCGTGACGTGGTTTTTCCACAAACTTAGAGAATGCGTTCTATTCGGTTTCGATAGGAATAACACATCGTATTCTGTCACATAGTGCACAGAAAACATGATGCAAATGGACAGACTCAGAAAAAGCGGACTTGACTGCGCGCTTTCGCAATCAACATAATTTTAGCCCAGTTTCTACAGATACCTCACGTCTCTCGTGATCAGTTAACTGAAAATTGTTTGATTATCCATATTTTTTCCCATGCTTTATATCAAAATTTTTTAAGATTGGGGTGTAACGTACTGTATAACTGTACGATTTTTTAGCTATTCTCTGGTACAGCGTCACTTGAAAACCTATCTGGCTGTACAAATTCTACCATCTTGTGCATTTTGTGTTGCTATTGACGTCTGGATATTCAACGATCGGAACTCGAATGAGTAGGTCTTTCTCATTCGCGTAGTTCACTGCTTGCTCGATTTTGCCTAAATCCCAGGAAAGGTGTTATGGGCAGAACATAACATTTGACTTCGATTCTATCAGGCATGCTATGTTAGGCTGGTGTCAGAGTCCGCGATCCGTCGCAGGTTTCGCTGATTTTCGCGATTTGCGCGATTCCGCGACGGATCGCAAAAATTGCAAGTGTGTGAACATTTGAAACACTGAATATGAAACAAGTGGAATCATGAGCAGTCGTCATTCAGCCATCACTATCAAGCAGAAGTGGCGGCAGGATTGGAGAACACCTTGCAGTATTGATCGGGCACTTGTGATTTCCGTGACCCGTCGCGTGAATCGCGCAAATCGCGAAAATCAGCGAAACCTGCGACGGATCGCGGACTCTGACACCAGCCTTAGCATATTGGCTTGACGCGGTTGCGCATCACTTTTTCGCACGAGGGATTGCTTTTTTCTAGTCATCTAGTTTTTTTATACAGTCACAAATTGCGGAGACAAGGTAAAAGGTTATGAAAAGTCAAAAAAAGCTAAAGGGGTACAAGTGGGTCATACACAAAAAAACACTTTATTCTCAGGGTAGCCACCGTCTGCATTGATAAAGCGGAGCCTTCAAGGGAATTTGCCAACCTGATGTGTGGATAGGCAGCGTTGAGCTCATGCGATACTTTCTTTCTTGGGTGACTTCTCTATCTCTTCGAAGCTTCAATAGGCTCAGGGCTGGCTCTCGTCTTCAGTATGCGTACACAGTGTTCCATTGAATTGAAATGGAGAGATGCACGTACATAGTAATCCACTGAATTTAAATGGAGAAAAGCGTGGTCTCTCCTTGAACGCGGTTATTTACAGGAACGTGTGTTTGCGCAGCAAATTTCCACAATTTTCTCTTCGGTTCTATTGAGCTTGAAGGATAATTCTTCATGCTAATTCTTACGAACAGCAACGACTCATTAACCTCGTTGTGAAAACCACACACTTTGCCACTTCATGCGGATTCAATATCATTTGCATGACTAAAGTTAGCTTTTGATTAGCGTAGATACTTCCGGTCTGCTCTGGGGTGAAAGACTCTTATTACAAAATTGTGACAGCATCTATTTGCACCGCTGCATTCCTGACATTTTGCTCGCATCAAGCAAAAGTTGGGACTTTTCACGCTTGCATGAGCGAAGCTCCTCGACTAAGCGCGATTATTCCGCATCCCATCATACTTAATGTTAGCTTAAGGAGTATTGTAATGGTGGCAGACAGGTATCCGTGCTCAAAACCCAGTGTCTCGGGAGCTTTCGGGGCATTCCGGGTTGTATTGTACACCA